TGTATTGTGGAGTATATTCGAAAAATGTAATCCGGACATAATTTTTAGTTTCGAATACAATTCGCTTTAGTCAAAATAGACATATGTCCATATTTACAACCTAAGGCCAGTATAGCCACTTATAGACGGCTGGTAAGTGAAATGGGTAGTTGCAGCCATACTCGTATATGTACTAATGCGCGTCCTCTATTGCTGCAACTACCCAACTCACGTACCAGCCGTCCATAGTAACCTATCTTATGAGAGCGCCATGTAAACACAAAGTTGTCACCGCTTGCCCATACCATTAGTGACGGTTGTCACGCAGAAACCAACAGCGATTTGATTTTTTCCGTTAAACCAGCTCGGCTCATTTCTCGTTGCTATACAAGGTTGCCAGTATAGTCTTTCTTAAAGTAACATTAAATAATCGAAGAAAATGCGTAGTTTCTTTTCAAAAGAAATGAAAACTAATGCGTAACTAATTATTTGTTATCATATAGATCATGTATATTTGTCTTGCGTTTATATTCAAGCAAATAAATTATGAAATTCGTTGACGAAAATTATGAATTTGTTCAAAAGTGTGCAAACACACAGGCAGCTGGCAACATTTCGCCGCTCTGAGCAGCGTCGATGACTCGTGTATGTATCTCGCCTTGACGTCGCCAGTTATGGACGGCTGGTAAGTAAAATGGGTAGTTGCAGCCTATATCAAAGCTCACCAACGAAACAAAACTGACTCAATTTCTTTTTCACACATCTTCTGTATATGAGTAAAAATCTGGTGCCGCACACGCATTAAGTAATTGCGACCGTTAAAACGAGAGCAATCATCGGCTTACAAGAGCGTGGTATAGTTGTTGACAGGGAATAAGTTTGGATTAATCCAAGGGACTATATGGTCCACAAATTTTTGAAGGGTCCCCGATCAACACAAACGAACGAAATCAATGTTTGTCTAAAATACTCAACGCTGTGGTGACATGACAAAACCTGCAAATAACCAACAATACGCTAGTCAACCTGTAAAATTATCCATCAGCCAATGTATTTTCGCGTCAGTTACTGGAAATGGGAAACGGCAAAATATAAATTAAGCGGAACGCAATATATTACCTGATAAATTCTGTAATACAATTACATCAAAAGAAGAATTGATATGAAGAGTACTCCCAAATATCCAAATGAATTATTTGTATGATGGTTGGTTAAGTGAGCGATCTATTTCGCTGCAAAAAAATAAGATGTCTGTGATCTCAACCATACTATTCAGTCCAACATTAAAACGAATCCGTCACATACATATATATAAACCAAGCAGGAAGCAGATGGTGCAATCAATTATCCAAAAGAAATTTAGAATTTTTGGATTTGACGGGAAATCGATATACCGAAACTCTGCAGCTGCAGACGAAATTACAGGGGAATGTAATAGAAGCAACAATTCTGACTCAACCTTTCAAAGATAAAGAATTCTATATTCCTCGAATCCTTATTATTACATATTGCATGTTCCAGGGTTTGTAAACCAGATAACATTTTTATTTGCACACAGGTATTGAGTAAATGTAATTATGATAGACCGATATTCATGAAATATTGTGTGTATATTATATAGACATTAAAATCTGGCAACATTTATTATTCACACCGTGAATTGGGACAGGCACTGACATTCGAAAGTAATCGAATTATGATTTTTTGGTTCGCATTACTAGAAAATTGGTAGATACGAGTATGTAGCTTTTTGCTACATTAGCAGGATCTCTACTTTTCTCTATAGATAGTTTTGGCCAGTAATCGCCCTGTAGTTCCTTACTTATCTGGGAGTCTTAAATTAACAAAAGATTTAAATTTGCGGGCAATTATGAAGTAAATGAAACCTTTCAAGAAAGAACAACATGAATTTTAACTTCGTCAACTGCGAAGAGATTAACTGAAAAATTTCGGAATTGCAGGATCCGTTGGAGACGCCAAACTCACTGGTCGCCCAAAAACAAGTCAAGTCAATGAGAATATGGAAACTGTACGTGAGAGTGTAGTCCATGCATATAAAAATCAATTATCACAACAACTGAAGCTTAATGACCATGTACAACGAAACAAGTTTGTTGAATGGAATATTAAACATCAACAAATGGATGTTGATTTTTCGAAAAAAAAAAATCATCTTAAACGTATAGCACATTTTCACCTCGATGGGTTTGAAAAATTTAGAAAAATGTATTTATACAGATTTTGTTCTGCTAAAATGTAATAAATAAAGGAAGAGTCCCAAAGTTAAGGCAAGTAAAAAACCAACAAAGAAGAAAAATGTATAACTTGTATAAAGTGATCTGGTTATTAGTTAGTTAGTTACTATTTGTAGTTTACTATTTGTAAACAAAAACGACACTAAAACTTAAATTGTTCGCTTTTAATTATTGGGCTTGTGACTCTGTAATTGCATTCTTTCTTCTTGTGAGCTATCAGCTGTTACTTTTAGCTTGCTTTATAAAAAAGTGCGCGAAATTTTGTTTACATTTGTTTGTTTGGCGTCAATTTTAATATGGAGCCCACAAAGGAGCATTTTCGTCATATTTTACTTTATTATTTCCGCAAGGGAAAAAAGGCGGAGCAGGTTGCTAAAAAGTTACGAGATGTGTATGGTGATGAAGCCTTAAAAGGAAGACAGTGTCATAATTGGTTTCGCAAATTCCGTTCTGGAAATTTTTCACCTAAAGATGAGACACGTTAAGGTCAGCCAAATGAAGTTGATGATGACCAAATCAAAGTATTAATCGAATTGGATCGTCATGTAACTGAGCATGAGATAGGAGAGAAGTTAAATATACCAAAATCAACCGTTCATTATCACATAAAAAGTCTTGGACTGGTGAAAAAACTTGATATTTGGGTACCACATGTATTGAAAGAAATTCATTCCATCTCAAACCACTTCAAAGGCTGATATCCACCAAAAGAAGGTTATGCTGTCTGTTTGGTGGGATTGGAAGGGAGTCGTATATTTTGAGCTGCTTCCAAGGAACCAAACGATTAATTCGAATGTTTACTGTCAACAATTGGACAAATTGAATACAGCCATCAAGGAGAAGCGACCAGAATTGGTCAATCGTAAAGGTGTCTTATTCCACCACGACAACGATAGACCGCACACATCTTTGGTCACTCGCCAAAAACTGAGTGAGCTTGGCTGGGAACTTTTGATGCATCCACCATATAGCCCTGACCTTGCACCATCCGACTACCATTTATTTCGATCTTTGCAGAACTCCTTAAATGGTAAAACTTTCGGCAATGATGAGGCTATAAAATCGCACATGGTTCAGTTTTTTGCAGATAAAGGCCAGAAGTTCTATGAGCGTGGAATACTAAACTTGCCAGGAAGATGGCAAAAGGTTATCGAACAAAATGGCAATCATATATTTGACTAAAGTTCATTCTAAGTTTTATTAAAAATGCATTTACCCAATAATTGCAATTTGATTCCTTGTATTTACTGCCTAAAAATTGCTGATGTCCATTCTTCTCAAATTGGCAGCAAATTTCAGTTCAACAGATATTGTTGTTGGAAATGGAAGTGAAGAGTTTCCAGACAATCTACCTACAAATCAAACTTCGTGTAACTATTATGTAAAGTTTTGATAAAACCATCGGTCTCCTATTTGCTTGAGATGTGTGTTCCGAACCGAGGTGCAATTTTTCTTAGCGTTTCTTGTGAATAAAAACACTTTTCGAAATTTCCTAATTTACCAATTTTTTAGTTTTTTAATTGAGAATATGGGTTTATTTTTAATACTTAATTAATTACAGATTTGTTCAAAGTTGAATAATTTTATGTTTTCCAGTTTTTAAATTAAAATATTACTTTTTAATCTGGCAAAATTTTGTTTTATATTAGCCGACATGGTATACCACAATATTTGTATGTTCAATTTTCATGAATGTTCATTAAAATCGCTTGATTTTACAAAAGAAAATAAAATTTTTATTTCCCATTACCCGCATTTACTCTATAACAGGGAAGAGCCCGAAATGTGTGATATGAAAAGCTTGTCGGGTGCTCAAAAATTCTATGAAAAGATACGGCAACTCTCATAAGGAGGCTTACTCATGTACAAAGTATGGTGGTAATCCGGTGACCGATGATAAGAGCATTCTTGGTGTATAAAAGGATCAAATCTACAGTTTGCTGAATGGAAAAGAAAGCGCAACACATTATCGTTTGATTTATTTGATTTTACGCTGAAGAAAATGAAAAGAGCTGCAGAGCTAACTACACAAGGTGTATGCCAATGAGATTAATATCAAACTAGTAGATCTGCATCCACACTTGATAAATGGGCGAATCCATCAATCAAATAGTCAGCGAACTTGTGCCTGCACTCCTGATTGAAAAGTAAAGTCCTCTCTCCAACGAACCAAACCCAAAATCTAAAGGTCCTTCATCAATGCGTCCTACTGTATCGTATAGAAGCGAGGATAATGTCGAAATCCGCAGACGATGAAACGTTGAACTGTACGAGTTATACTGGAAGGAGAGGAAGAGGAAGACCTTCACTTCGTTGGAAGGATGAGGTGGAGGGCAAAATGATTTCACTTCCTATTTACAACTTGCGCCAACAGCAAAGAGAAGGAACAAATGGTACGCTGTTGTAAATACGGCTATAATCGAGTTAGCAGTGTGGACCATACACGTCCTGAAGAAGAATCTAATGTACGGTTCCACCCGAACTTAATCTTCTTTACGTATTTGATTCCCTCGGCCAACTTCTGCCTTCTGCCTGCTTCGTATGGTTTTAAGTGGTTTGTTTTGATATGAGCGGTTGTGTTTATTTCGTTTTTTTTTTCAGTTAACATAAATCCAGTTCAATGTACTAGTGCATTTATATTACTTCCCTAACAATGCGAGTTAACTGCACTCCGGACGATGACTGTTGCTAAAATTTCTACGGCAATGAATAAGTATAAAAGCTTTTGTCAGCAATTATTGTAATTAATTTTCTAAAGTTGTTAAAATGCTGTTGTTTGAGCTCGTTCTTGGCTTCGAAGGATTTCGGGTTGTATTTTTCTTTTGTATTATACTGTGCTTGCTTCTAATTTGTTCGACATTATTGAGAAGAGACCGATTTTACAATGTAACTTCACAGTTACCAACTGCAAAGGGTCTACCGTTTCTTGGAATCGCATATCAATTGACACCCATGAAAAGTATGCAATTCCAAAACTAAAGCATTACAAATTTTCGTCCAAAATATAATAATCATTTTGTATAAATAGAATTTCTTTACGTTTTGGAGTCTTATTTTCTAAAATTTAAAAGTTGGAGTTATTACGCTTGGATTGGACCGCAACCATTTTTCGTTACCGTCGATATAGAAATGATAAAAGAAATACTTACTTCGAGTAGTTTTTTAGATAAATCAACAACTATGTATTCTTCCGTCAATAAAGCAATTCCGAATGGAATTATTTCGAGTCCAGGTAATTACTTAAATAAAAATGTACATAAATATACTCACCTATTTCGATGATAACATTAAATATACTAGTTGTACATTTACATATGTGTGAAAACCGTTTTTATTCTTTCTGATTTTGTAGTTAATAAATGGAAGCATAATCGGAAGTTAATGAACTCAACATTTACACACAGAACTATCACTGCATTCATTCCAATTTTCAAGAGAGGAACGAATATACTAGTGGAGGAGCTAGATGGCTTTGTAGGGAGAGGAGAGCTTGAAGTGTTTGAAATAATCAAACAAACCTTTTTGGATATGGCCTTAGGTAAGAATATTAACATTCCAAGTTCCACCACATACGTATGTATGAACATTTAGTCAACAGATTGTCCATTTAATCAATAATAACTGATAGTATAGTTTTCCTTACAAGCTTGATAAGATTGGCTCTACTGTTCGTCTGTGTGTACAAGTACATCAGATTACTAAGATGCTGCTCGACGTCATATTTGCATACACAGTGTGTCATAAAATACTTTATTTTTGATTTCCAGTCGTAGGTGATTCTGAAATGTGAGCTGTAAATTACATTATTTGTTAAATGGGAGATAATCTGGATTTATGATGATATTTTTCCAACAAATCAAGGGACCTACAGTTTATACTAAGCTGTCTCCGAACGGCTGATGTTTGTTTTATGAGGAGTTTTATTTCATAACAGAAATACACTCGGAGGGGTTGACATTCCCTGCCGAGTGGCGACCGCAGTTAAAAAATTTAGTTTAATTTTTGACTTAAATTTTCTATAACTTTTTGAATGTTGGTCGCACGGGGATTTGAACCCGAGCCTTCCGAATATCAATACGCAATGCTAACCACTCGGCTACTGCGGCCGCCTAAACTAAACTAAACTTTATTATGAGAGAGAAATTAGGCAGCATAATTTAATATCAATTAATCCATTATCTAAAGGCAAAACTAGTTGTCTAGTCTTGTATTAGCTACCCATTGGCCACACCAATAATATCTTTTGCTTTTTCTTCTTATTAGTATCTTCCTATAAATAAATTTATTTTGGCATAGTGTCTTCATTGCGAGGAAATTGTCTCAATAATCCACATTTGTGGGTAATACACAGTCAACAAGTTCTGGAAACCGAAACCTTTTATTTTTCGGACTTTAGGTAATATAATAAAGTAAATTGTAGACAGAAACAAGCTACATAGATAGCTCAAATTGTTTGCAAAGTATTCTATGAACTCTTGAGACAGTGGTTCAGTGGTAAAAGATGAATCACTTCGACTATTCTTATTTCTGATATGTCGATTATCGTGGCGTTGATGTTATAAAAACGATTTAAACAGACTTAGAATCAGTTAGAAGACTTTTGTCACATCCAGAAGTAGTACTTGTGCCAATATATTGTCCTAAAATCTACATAACGAGAAAATTCAAGTCAAACTACAGCTACTAACTGAGCCTTTTTTCTTGCAATCAATGGGAAATAAATAAACATTGGTTTGGATATAAGATTTTTGTTGATGTGCTATTGCACGTGCAATGCACCTACCATAACAAGCATTTCCTAAACTAAGCGAGTAACCCTAATGTAAAAGTACATATATGAATAGAGCGCGAATTTCGCTACATTTTGTAACAGCTTAGTGCAACACTTTTTTTATTGTATTTAATTTTTCTTCTTACAAAAATAATTACTCCATTGTGGTCGCAAAACATAAACAAATCATGATTGTGATTGGAAAACAATAAGATATTATTTTAGGTTTTTTTCAAAACTTTAAGCTGATTTAAAAATGGTAAATACTAAAACACCGGTCACTTCCACGCTGTTGTTGTTGTTGTAGCGATTCGCTACATGAGTTCAGGGACTTCGGTCAATTCCACGAGTTCAGTCGGTGAAAAAAAATCGAAATATGAAAAAGTGTACGCAAAATTTACTAAATGGTTCAATCTAAATGTTGGTGAAAACTGTAAAAAAAAATCAGTTTAGTACTTTTTGATAGTATGGCATCTATCTGATTAACGCGGATGAGGTCTTGTTTCTTGAGATTTGCTTGTATTGGTTTAATTTATCATGTATATTACATTAACTAAATGTATTACAATACATTACATATACATTAATTTAAACTCATTATACAAATTATTACATTTATTTTTTTTTTTTCATAAGAAAAATTGTTAGGCTTGTGTCGCTTAGCGCCCCTCGGCAGGGGCTACGAGGATGTTTATGACATGATTTAAATGTTGCTCAATAACTCCATCATGTGCTCCGATGTGAATTGGAATAAAATAATACTAAGACCGCCACACTCCAGATAGGAAGAAGCAACTGTAAATATTTTTATGTAAATGGCTAAAAAGAGATTTTGTTAGAAGTCAATCTTTATTTTTACCCCACAGATATATACAAATGCAAATCTATAAACAAGCATTGTTTTTGTTATTGGCTATATTAACAAAAATATTATTAAACTATGAGTTATCACAAAACTACATATGTAAAATGCGTCCATAACTTACTTTTATATTTATTCTTGCAGAAACTACAATGGGTACAGATCCTAACCAAACAAATAATAATCACAACAAAATGATTAGCGGTTTTAACTAGTAAGTAGAAAAAACCACAGAACCTTTGCAATTTTTTTTCAGCCTATAACAATTTAAAAAAAAATGAAAATTACATCATAATACATAAAGTCCTATATATTTTAACAAATTAAGTCTTCGAATGATCGATCAAAATGCATACTTATGCATTAGAACCAAGACCCAATGAACTTTCCTTTTTTGGTTGATTTAAAATGAAGTGGCATACATAAATAAATTCAAACTTGATAAAGGACAAACTGGGTCAACCTAACTTTTTGCGTATGTTTTTCTTTATAAGAAAGGAGCATTTAAATTTGGTGATAAAAAAAAATATTCTCAACTTTTCCAATCATTATTTTCAAGGCACTAAACTTAAAAATTCTTTATTTTTTTAAAGTTTGCTGAAGCAAGCGGCAACCGGAGCTGTTCTCAGCACAGTAAAACTGGGATTTTTAACTCTCACACCCAGATATTTTAGGACTCAACAATTTATACAAGATCATATAGAAAAGGTAAATTTTCTTGGTTATTTAAAAAGCGTTGAATATAAAATTTTAATATTTTTTTTTAATTTTTTTTTTAATAATTCTATAATACTTATATATAATATCTAGTTAATTAAAGACAAAAGGAAAGCTAATAACTGTAAAGGAAACAGCAAAACTATGGAAAATCAATCGAATTCGGACGATTGCTATACAAAGAAAGAAGCAGATATTTTTATTAACAGAGCTCTTAATTTTCAGGATCAAGGCCTGTTTGGGCAAGATGATGTAATAAATGAAACGAAAACTATCGTGTCTGGGGTGAGATAATTCATATACATACACTATTTGAATACATATACACGAATAAATATACATATACATATGCATATATATATAACATATATCCACAATATGTACATATGTATACCCAGCGGGAAAAAAATTTGAGGATGCAAACAGTAATAGATAGCCCCGCTGAACTATGCAGAAAAGATGAATAATTTTCTCTACATCGAAGTCATAAGAAAGTAAAATTTACAGAAGTTATATTTTACTGTTAGCACTTTTGATATATGAAAGTATACAGAGTGCAGCACTTTTCATAAATGGACAAAATTTTCTTTTTGAAGCCACCATCGCATCCATTACCTTTTATAATTAAAAACTCTCATTAGTTTTGTTATTAATGACATATAATATTTTGTGATAATTTATTATAATATTATGGTATTATTAATTCATTTGCACAAACCTCACAAAGATCCTTATCACTGATTTGCTTTCTTTAATTAAGCAATGGCAATGCTGCTTACTATTCATTCTGATAACGAGTTCCACAAAACAATGTACATATGTATATAATTCATTATATTTCAAAGACATTTTTTTATTCATTAACAGCCAGAAAAGATTGCCAATAAATTTTAAATAAATTGATCAAGCTTAGTATTCAGCCAAATAGCCATTCAAAAGAAAGTACGAAACAAGTGGAGTCCAAATGTTGGTTATTAGCAGTTAACAATGTTAGCATTCAAGATCGTACATTCCTTCTTAGCTTGTTTTTAGTATAATCTCTTCTTATTCTTTTTTGTGAGCCTTTGCATAATATGGAAAAATATTCCCACCGGGTATATCTACGCCTTTGTATATGTAGAAATGCAAATAAATACATATACCCCCAAGCTTTGCATTTATATTTGTTTACAGTCGTTTGACACGGTTTCCACACAAATTTACTCAATTCTAATTATGTTGGCCATGCATCCGAATGTTCAGGAAAAACTTTACGTAGAATTGACACAAGTAATGCCGGAAAACAACATATCACTAGAATACAAGCACCTTAAGCATTGTCCCTACCTGGATATGGTAATTAAAGAAACTCTTCGCCTAATGCCATCAATCCCAGTTATCGGCCGGGAAGCAGCGAACGAAATCCAAGTGAACGGCATAAACTTTCCAAAAGGCATTCAAGTAATGATACCGATTTTCATTCTTCATCGGCGGAAAGATTTGTGGGGCGCAAATGCCAATGCATTCAATCCAGATAACTTTCTCCCGGAGCGCATGAGTGAACGGCGTCCATATGCATATATACCTTTTTCGAAGGGTGCCCGGAATTGTATTGGTAAATTTCACACCGACATATGTACACAATATTCGTGACAATTTATCATAATTTCATCTTTCTACCACATACAGGTTGGTACTACGCTGAGACTGTTTTACGTATAATATTGTTCGGTTTAATTCGAAATTTCAAGTTTTCAACCTCCTTCCAGTACGAAAATCTGGTATTTTCCAATCATATAAGCTTACGATATGTTGAAGAACCTAAACTGCAAATATACCGAAGAAATCATGCTATAGAAAAAATGAATTAAATGATATTTACCTGCATACATATATTCATACATAGAGACATACTAAGCTATACTAAGTGCATGGAAATTTGCAATCATTCTCTTATTAGTTTGTATTTTATTTGTGTGTACAATTTTTAAGTCTATTAAAAATGCCTCTATAGACAATGTTTTATGAAAATTTTTGTTTAAATAAAAGTTGTATATATATATTAGTTTGAATTGTTTGATTTGTTTGGGGAATGTTTCCCTAATGTTGCAAATACATAGACGTTTATTAACAAAATATTTACAAGCGAATAAATAATTTACATAATTAATAATTCATAATTAATTAGTAAACTTATTCAAAATAATCAAGCAAGTTGATGCAGCTATGTGAATCTTTTCAGATTCGAGCCTGTGATGGAAATGTCGCGATTTCATTTTGATGCAGAAATAGCATATCGCACGAATTAATTTTCGCTGTGATGAAAATCACTCCATTATTTTAGTCCTGAACACAAGCGCAAAAACACTTTTACGACATTTGTGGAACTGCACCGAGTTGTGGCAAAGAATTTTATATAGGTGGTCTGGACGGAAATGGAAGTTTTTTGGACAGATCAATCAAAGCAACTAAATTGTCAGAGTACACCACAAAAAGATACGTATGTACATAAGTATGTATATACACTTACACTGACTTTTGAGTATCTATAGGATAGGAGCGATCTCTTCTCAAACGATTTTCAATTATTTCGGTATATAAAATTAACAGATGCAGTTAAAACTCTCATGTTAACAAACATATTGGGTGATTTTAAAAAAAAAGTAAATACATTTTTTTTTTTTAATTTTTAATTAACTTTAATCGATTATGTAATTTCCATACAGTTGGATGACCTTTCGCGATCCTCCCGGCAACGTCATTCTCACGGAATCCTGGCCTTTATCTGCTAAGAACTGAAGCACGTGAGATTTTATAGCCTCGTCATTTGCTGAATATCAGCTTTTGAAGTGGTTTGTGGCGCTTTATCTTGCTTCGATTACGTTTGACGTAATTGTAAACAATCCACTTCCGATTTCCGTTAACGATTTGCTTAAAAAACGGATCATATTCATTGCGTTTAAGATGCACAAGTGTTCAAGCGGCTTATTAAATGAATTTCTTTCAATTCATGTGGTACCCAAATATGAAGTTTTTAACCAATATGATTATGAATGGTTGATCTTAGTATACTTTACTTCTCTCCAATCTCACGTTCAGTTACATAACGATCCGATTCAATTAAAGACTTGACATCGTCATCATTTACTTCATTTAGCTGACCTGAACGTAACTTATCTTTGAGTGAACGGAATTTGACAAATCAACTTCGACTCTGTGCTTCATTTTAGGCCTTATCACCATACAAGTTATGCCACATTTCAGCAACCCGCGCTTAATTTTTTCCTTGAAGGAAATAGTAATGTTTTTCTGGGATCAATATTAAAATTTCGAACTCAACTTTTTTCATTTAATTAATTCGCTTCAGTGTAAAGACTGTCAAAATGTTTGTTTATGTTTTGTATTTTTGTTTATATTTTGCTTTTTATTTGCTTACGTTTAATTTGAATTTCCAATTGAAAAATTTTAAATTTTCAAATTAGATTTTTTTTTTCAAATACAAAATATGGACCGACTATCAATCAACGCACTTGGGCCAATAGGACCGTTGTGATACCGTTATGACGCTCTTATCTTCATATTCTCATATGTTCGAGCCATTTCGAAACGAGATTATAAATTCTTGCTGAAGCTAGTTTAGCGAGTCATTCAAAAAAATCGTAGTGTTCAATGGACTATTTCTATGAGGCCACAATCATTGGAAAATAGCCTGTTTTCCCGAGAAGCCCCATTGAACGGTTATCTGTTGTTATGCTAATGGATAACTGGTTTAGAAAGATAATATGTTTAGATTTTTTCGGGTCCAAAATTGGTCATAGCTGTCTGGTCACGTTGCACGTAATCTCATTCACCCACCTAATGTTTATATTTTTGGCAAAGGCCAAGCTAAGTTATACTTTACCGTGAAATAGCTTGGGATGTTCGTGTGTATGGGTACCCAGACAACGGTTGTATTGCATTTAGCTGAAAGTTTGTTCAGGTTGTTTCTTTTTATAACCACTTTTGATGTGTTACCCTGTAGAGATCTGATCTCTGTTTAACTATCGAATGATAGCCCTGCTACCGTAGTCACTCAGCGGCTTCCATGATTTCAAACAGTTCTGCTTGGAAGACCTGCAGTGGGCTAGAAATTTCATGCTCATTCTTATTGAGGGACCGCTTTTTCAAAAAGCTTTGAGCCGTCTGTAAAGATGGATTTGGCTCATGTTTGGGAATCTTTATATTGTCGAGGCGATCCGTTGTGTTTTGTATACATACATATATAGAAAGGGGAAATCTATTATTTTTCCAAGCTCCACAAGATGAAGCATCCACATCTTTCTGGATTTGTGTTTGCCAAACAAATTTGAAAAGGAGGCCTAGTATGCATAGACCATTTTTTGAAAAGAAAATTATGTTAATATAATATTATAAATAGTTAAATATAATATATTTTTTTAATGCTAACTATAAATAATAAATATAATCAACTACATAGTATGTATTGTATTATAAATATATAAACCGCAACTACCAACACTACAAAAACTGCAGAAATACGGTAATTCTAGTAATCTCTCATGATCGGCCAATTATTTAGTCTAATGGCCATTGCTGAAATAATTCCCTTATAAATAAGGATTGTAAAGAAATAACTCCATAAAAGAAAACTACTCTACTTTTAAGGTAATTTAAATTAGGAAACTTTTATTTTTAAAGCTATCGACATCAATTTAATTTTTGGTTTTTCTTCTTTTCTGACTTTTGTTTTGAATTATTGATTCAATTCTACAAAGGCGAATTATATGAAATTGCCATGATTATGACAATTGAAAACAAAAAACAAAATACATGGTAATTGTTGTTTTTTTTTATTTCCTGCTCTCACATTTATGAATTCGAGTTGGTCACAAAGGTTTCAGAAAATTGTCAACGCAGTCTGTATGAAAAATCGCCAATATTTTACACAAAGCAGTTTGACATCAGCTGTATCGAATTTCAAGCCCTTGCCGAAAAAATTTAGTTCAAGACGAATGATAGTACATACTATGTCTAAACGATCGTTTGATAATTGTAAAGAACTCAGTTTGCTTAATCACGAGTGAAGGTGAATTTTTGGAAGGTGAAGTTAACATCATATGATTGCTTGTTCTTCCTTCTATTTCAACAAATTACACAAGCAAAATACGTTGGAATAGGTTTTGAAATTACGAACTTTTTATAATACCAACAAAATATATTTTGAACGAATTTCGTTTTTGATTTTTCGAAACTTTGACTTCACAAAGAATAAAAAGGCTTTTGGTTTTTGTATTCTTGCTACTATCGTGTGTAAATTTGCCGAGTGAAAAAATTTCTAATTCTTCATATTTTTGTTTGTAGAATTGACGTGCGTGAGGATAAGTATCTGTTCTGCTTGCCTTACTCGTTTTTCGAATTGTAATTAGCGGCCATTAAACTAGTGTGGTCATAATGCCCAAAAAATGTTTGAATTTGTAAGCCCTTACCTTTTGGAAACGAATAGGTAATGCCGATCGATTAAATAAAAAACTTTTCGAGCCTATATAGAAACAAGTCGGCGCAGGCGTTTAGTGACAGTTTGAAGTTTAGTCGTGTTTTGTCGTTGGAGCAACTAAAAACTATGCTTAGTTCGTGGTTTTATAATACGTATTTTTTTGCCACAGGATGAAAATGAAGGATTAGAGAAACTCGAAGTGGTGTAAGCTCATGCAGAAGGTCATGGAATTAGAGTTAAATGGCGAAAATGTCACTTTTTAAATTTCAATTTTCATAGAAAAGACGAAGTATTTCGGTTCGCTGAAGAACAGCAGCTTTCGGACAACTTAAGTCAGCACCGACCGAAACACCAGTGTTGCAATTATATAACCCGAAAGCTGAAACAGAGATCCATACCGACGTTATAAGCTTGGGTACGGAGGTGTTTTACTTCAAAAAGGCCCAGATGACCAACAATTCCACCCCATACAATTCATGAGTCGTAAAACTAGACCCGAAGAGGAAAAGTATCACTCGTATGAGTAGGAAGTCCTCGCCATAACACAGGCTTTAAAAAAGTGGCAAATTTATGGAATCGATAAAAAATTCAAAATTGAAAGTGATTGCCATGCGTTCGCATTAATAATGAAGAAACAAGATATACCACGATGAGCTATGTACTTCCAAGATTTCGATTATGTAATCGAGCAGAGGTCGGCAATAAAAATGAAACAATTTGATGCTCTAAGCCGAATAACTACAATGCTATTTGAAGATTCTTTGAGTTTTCGGTTAAGAGAAGCTCAGAAGCTCATAAGTTTCAGAGAACAATTCATATGGAGACTTCTACATAAAAAATGGGGTAGGGTACAAAGATCCTATAAACGAGTTGGTAGTAGTTCCGTAAGCAATGGAAGAAGAAATTACTCGAACTGCACATCGTCGAGGACATTGGGCGACAAGAAAAACACAGGACTACGTCGAAAGATCTTTTTATATTCCACAGATTGGGCCTAAGGGGGCGAAAGTGAAAGGAGGATGCGTCGAATACATCGTTAGGGAGACAAAGTCAGGGAAGAAGGAATGTTTACTTTTTCTTATAGATAAGGACGATAAACTCTAACTTCGTAGCATTTGGATCACTTAGGCCCCATGGAAACGCCACATAAGAAATACAATCATTTATTTATTGTAGTAGATGCATTTAGATGCAGCATCTGTGATAGAGAGTTTAAATAGACAGGCATCGATATTTGGTAATCCACAAAAGATAATTACCGAGAGGGGCACGGTTTTCACAGCCAAATGCTTTGAAGAATATTGTAACAGGGAGAGTATTCTGCGTCTACAGGCTTTTCTTCCGGCAAATGGGCAGGTCGAACGAATAAATCGTATCGTAATATCACTATTAACTAAGTTGTGTCACAATATTTATATAATTGGCGCCTTGTAACTGCTGAAGTGATTTTACGTCGAGCTCTTGCTCCAACTTGTGGTTTTGTGTCTTGATGTTTTTCCAACAAATCAAGGGACCTACAGTTTATAGAAAGCTGCCTCCGAATGGCTGATGGTTTTTTATGAGGAGTTTTATTTAATGTCAGAAATACACTCGGAGGGGTTGACATTCCCTGCCGAAGGACGACCGCAGTTAGAAAATTTAGCTTAATTTTTGACTTAAATTAATTTTCTATAACTTTTGCAAGTTGGTCGCACGGGGATTGGAACCCGAGCCTTCCGAATGGCAATACGCAATGCTAACCCCTCGGCTACTGCGGCCGCCTGTGTCACAATAATCCTGCAAATTTGTACAAGCACGTTGATAGAGTCCAGCGTTTAATAAATAATACTCCTTTAAGAAATACCCGTTGAGCTCCATTAAAAATAATGACAGGCTTAGATCCGACGACAGTGAATTTAGTAAGTTATTGAATTATGCATTGGTAGAAGAATTAGAAGACGAAAGTTAGAAAGAAAGATCAAGAAAGTGTATCAAAAATTCAGGAAGAAAATAGGGGCACTTTTAATTCGATAAGCAAACAGGAAACAGAGTATAAAATAGGCGATTACGCAACTAAAGGAACCAAATATGGGCCAGGCCCAAAGATCAAAGAAAGATTTCGCTGTCCATGTTCCATAAATCAAAAGCTAGGGCACGGAAGGTTTGGGGTCAATAAAATAAGAGATTACGAGGGTTCTTATAAAACTACAACGGTAGCGGAGTATATGAAAGCATGGCATCCTTCGTCGAACGACATTTCAGGACGGAAGACTACTACTAATATAATATTAACTTAAGACTACAATATATTACAACCCGGCCAGACTGAATATAGGCAATACTAACTGAACGAATGAACGAGTCTCGTTCTAAACAGAAGGCTAACAGTTGCTCTATGAATGTTAATAAATACACATCTAATATACATAGAATATGAAATAAGAGTCTTTTATTATTCCTACATACATACATATGTATGCTGTGTTACAATTCACTCTATAACTAAATTTGCTTTATTCCTCTCGTACACCCGAAAAAGTGGCATTTCTCTTAATTTTATTGTAATGTCTTCTACAAAATTTAGATTGTGGTATTTATATGTTGTGGTAAATTGGTATCTCCATATCAATTTAGCGACGGTTACTTTCAAAGAAAGCAAAGCATATCTCCAGCCTGAAACAAAACAGATTTATGCAAGAAATTACTTAAATTGGGAAGAGAAGCGGTTTGACTGCATTAAGAACTTACCAATGCAGTTCCGAATTCCCTTCGTAAATGGTATGAAAGCATATGGATGTTTTCCTTCCAAATTTGAGGGTAAAAAGTTATCCGGATTGAAAATATGGGCTTCTTCACCCCAAATGTCCTTTCGGCGGTGAATATTGAAAATATTAATAGCAACCTGTATTCCTTTCGCAAGTACAACACCGTTGCTTAGCTCAACCTGCTGGTCGGTTTGCCGCGCTACCAATGGCACCGGTGCCATCACTCGCATCGTTTCGTTAATCACCATGTCCAAATAGATCATTTGTTGTGTATCACTATAGGAAATTTCATTATCATCCTTACAAAAAAAAATGGAAGAAATCTCTTCAAAAACTTTATTCTGATACTGTGGGAACATTGCCAATAGCATCAGTACATAAAGTATTGTATTAGAAGTTGTTTCAAAAGCCTAAGAAGAGATTTAGATATAAAAATGAATATCAACTATATACAAATACAAATCAAATTACCCCAAATACAATGACATTGCACTCGTCCTCGACGTCCTGCCAGTTGAAATGACCTTTCTGAACCAAATCAAGAGCTCGGTGTATAAAAATATTTTGATCTAATTCCACTTTACCCTGTGTGACTTCTCGTTCCTCCTTTGTTTTTTGTATAATCAACTGAAAAATGGTTTCAAATACTCTAATCATGTGTCATAACTTCAAAAAGTATATAAATATCACGTATAAACTATTTTTCATTATAACTTAAATCACATCCACCACTGAAGTAACGTTAAGTTTGAAGTACACAAAAATTTCGATCCATCAAAAATTGCTACAATTTGTATAAATATTTAAAACTTCAATAAACCAAGCTTTTTCGTTATCGGCGCTTTATAAACTGTATTGTGGCAACAACAAATCTCAGCTGCGCAAGTTAATATGCTCAAACTTCTCTATAACGAACTTCTAAATAAGAAAGATCTCCCTGTTATGAACTAATTTTGAGTGATTTGTCGGCAATTTGGTGTCTGCAATCGAACTTCCAGTCGATCGGGCAGCATAAGCAATTTTGATTTCTCTTGAAATTGCTGCCAAAGGATTTTAGTATTGTCAAAGATCATTTTTGAATATTGTGAAATATGCTTATTTCCAAACATTACTAAATCTGTTATTGGACATGCGATTTAAAATTGATTAATTACTAAGCCTAACGTCAGGAGCACTTCTTTAGCCTGCGTGTATATTAAGTGTCCACATGAAGTAAAACGAAGCGAAGGACAGGTGGATTCCCGGCTGAGGTATTTAAAAGTGGCAGGGAGTAACCAGCAAGACACATGTATCAATTCACAAAGAGGGGGCCCCATGGTCTGTGGTGATTGTGTGATAAGCATCCTTAATATCGCATATAATATCCTATATAACGAATTCGGTGAAAGACTAAATCGTCAACAAACTAAATGCACCTCTTTGTGGACTTGATGAATTCTCCATTAACCAAATATTGAAAAATACCACCTTCTTGTCGAGCTGCAGAGCTGAATAGCGACCGTATGGTATTTTATAAACATGTAATCCTGCTTTGAAAGTATATGGGCATGCCCTAGTACATTGTAAGGCGAGTTGAATCTTTTATAGATTACGATTACAAAAATTTCGGAGTGGACTTTAACTGTAAGACAGACATTTTCCTAGTTATATTTTATTCCGCAAATGTATAAGGCTCCCATATAACTATGGTCTTTTATCAAGTTAAGTCGCTTAAAATACTGCTTAAGCGAGCAACGTCCTACACTCAATATCCCGCGCATACTTTTGGCACGCGTACTTTCATAAATGCAATTCTGAGCTGGGCAGTTAAGCTATAAACTTAAGTTATCTACTAGATAAATCGCTGTGAATGGTACGCATTCTACTGCTTGCATTATCGCACGTCAATATGTTTTCCAGCTCCTGGAATGGCTGAAAGATGCCAGATCATCCAGCATCCTAAACATTCTCTCCGTCCTTTACTCTGTTAGATGCAGTTTGGTCGTTTTAATCGATATATTCAATCAAATACAAAGCAATTGGATTTACTTACGTTACGTATATATTTTCGAATTTCTGATTTGGCCTCCGTATAAGTAGAATGATTTGTCCAAAACCTCCGAAATACTTTAAAGTTTAACCATGGTGAGAAACACATTTGTGTCATTGACTCCTGCACGCTAAATTTAAATACTAAATATTTTCTTAATTTAATATTTAAAATATAGGAATATTACCATTTATAGCAGCTCAATAATCCTTCTTCGAATTTATTTGTTCCACCCGAAGGTATTGTGTCTCCCATTGTCGTCTCTAAGGAACGTAATATATGTATGTGTTTATCGCCAGTTACTAAACAATTATTGTTTTACTTACGTGTCGCAATTTTCAGTGTATAGTTCTGAAATATTTTTGTCAAGTCGATTTCTTCTGTGAGAAACATCTCAAAATTATTTAGAAGTTTATCCGCTTCCTGATTAAATATTGGCATTAAATTCAAAAGAACTTTGTGTCCAAAAGCTGGATTTAAAAGTCGTCTGTGTAAAGTCCATTTAGGATCTACAAAATGTTTTAGTTTAATTAGTTATTTTAATTCACAATTTTTCCAAAGTTTTCAAATATTTACTCGATAAACTGAAGAGACCTTTTCCAGTACCATCATCAAGTGCGGTGTAAATAAAACTTTTATCAACACAGTGGGGTGAAGTTAAAATATCTTGCGCTATTTGAGGATCACCAACAACTAAGAAAGGATAGGGTCCTAGCCACGAAAAAAATGTTTCTCCGTATTTCTTCTCTTCTCTTTGAAATGCCTCCAAAATTTCTTAAAAATAAAATAAAATCATAAACATATTTAGTACATACATATGTCGTATATGTATGATCTTCTGTTTCAAGAATTATTCCTTACTAAATAGTTACATTAAAGTAACTAATGTAATATCCTACATATATCTATATATAAAATATTTGGGAAAAATGTATGTTAATTCATCAATTGAGAACACTTAGATCGTTTTGGATTATCTTTATAATTGTTTATAAATGTCAGGAAAGATTTATTTAGAATAAAAAAGTTATCTTTTTCTAAGAAGTGGTCGAGGAAAGAACTTTTTCAGAAAAACATTATTTCCATCGAAGAGTTTTGGTGAAAGAGGTCGCGAAACTATTCCCGGTTGAATCGTCGTTCACGTCAATAAGTTGTCCGGCGGAAAATCTTAGTTGTTGCTAAAGTTCTGACGATTAGTTTCTTTTTAAGTCCTTTTACTATCATATTTTAAATTTTCAATATATTTAATATGACATAACTGACAGCTTACATACATTTATTTAAAACTAAAGTAAGTGTAAAAAAACCGATCCAAGAATTTGAAGGACCCATAGTCTTCAGTTGCCTTCGATTGGCTAATGGACCTTAATGAACAGTTTTTATTTTCACATCCGATTACACTTTGAGAAAAACTTTTTAATATTTCAGTTGACTGCTACCCGCTAGCGGCCGCGGTTATCTTTTATCACCAATATTAAAATTTCAAACATCCCTTTTTGAAATTAGCTCATTATATCTTTGGGGATCCTTTAAGTTTTACTTCATTGCATTTGGTTTTTCAATGGAATTAGTAGCACATTTGTAAATTGCGTATATGTTGTTTATCTCACATTTTAAGACCGGCTTTTATATTAATTCTTTTACGCGAACATCAAGATTAGAAAAAATTTATTTTTCTCAACTTTGTAGATTTTTGTTAAAAAAAAAAATTACCTTCTCTCTTCATTAGGCGATGAGCCATACCCAGAATGGGATAGCCCAGTGGTCCAGGTATTTTGAATATTAGCTTATAAAATTCTCTTCGGCTCCATAAAACGCACAGCCAAAGTATCAAAAATACTCCCAATAAATAATAAAAAATCATGTTTCACTTTGTGTGCATGTATTTTGTTGTTTTTAATACAAATATTTTAAGTGAATAAAAAACTATTGAAAGCACAATGCGTAGATGAAATGCGATGTGGTGACAATAGAACCCGTCAACACCTAATGTTCAAATATGATATTAAAATTTATTATGTTTTTATTTATAATGCAATTTTTGAAGCACAGAAAGAGATGAGCAACTGTAAATAGCACAGTGTTGCCTCGCATTATAATACTCGTAGATATCGTTTTAGGCGGCTTTGATGTAATGAAAATTATCGAAAATGCTTTGGAAAAATCATATTTTTTGACGGTTGTTATTAAAGCTGATTGGGTAATTTTAAACTGAAAACAAAGTGTGATGAAAAAATAGTGGCCCCAGAGCAAGGCAGTTTTATTCAAAAAACCAATTAAAATTTAGTCATGCTTATACCGAAAACAATTTCTTAAAGATACACTTTAGTGGAAAATATAACTCAAAAAAGCATAAAAGTCAACAAGATAATATACGAAGTATTTTAAGCTAAGTAGTTTTTTAACGAAACAGTAATACGGGCATATGAATGATAATTTTGTTTATATTAAGTTAGCTGAAAGTATACATCTTCATTAATAGTACGTCCTAGAAACATAATGCATTCTACCAAATGCAATTGGTTGGTTTTTAAAATATTCAATTGGATGTAAAATATAAAATTTATTATAATGTATAAGAAAAGTAACTGGCTGGAGAAATTTTCAGTCGAATTTCTCCTCCAGTTTGTCCTGCGTCTCACATCTAAAATTTGAAGCCGCCGCCGAGCGAGATAAGCTTCTCGTTTACCGTTACTGTTACCGATAAAGTAAATTTTTTTACTTTTTTTTAACACCCGAAATCGAATTTGGTATTCTGGCGAACTGGTTAAAATGTTTGAAAAAAAACTTTGGCTGCACTGCTTTTTTCGTTCTGGTCAAATAACATTTGCCGGTTGCTGTAGTAGAAAAGAATAATATTCATATCGAAATGGAGGACGGTGCACTTCAGAATAAATAAGTTTTATTTATGTGCTTATTAAATCATAAATATTGGAAACTAATTTTGGAAAATATGCCTAAGCGACAAAACAAAAACACGAATGAAAACGCTCTCTTCCAAATTAAAAGGATCATTTGTTCCTCGCAAACTTCTTAACATGCGCCTTTTTAGACTTTTTCCTTCATCTTCAATGAATTCCAGGCCTAAAAATATGCTCGGATTTTTTGTTGCCTCCTATTTCGCTGGTAACAAAATTTACAGGGTGACAGTGAACTCAGAATACGAAATAGTAACAAAATTTACTGGATGGTAAATTTTAATACCAAAGTAAATTTCGTTATCTCAAGAGATTAGGCTTGTTAATGTCAAAAATAAATTAAATAGTAAACGATTTAAAATTCGAAAAACGAAAGAAGTGGTGAAAGTGGTCATACTAAACAACAGTTCAATTTTTTTAAGACGCATTGATTTGCCCACTTTTTGTAGTCTTTTAAAGCTGCAAATTAAATCAATCGAATAATATTTTACATCGTCATCCTCCTTTTCTAATTTAACCAACTTTGAATCTTGTTCGCATCAACTTACCAAATTTACACAAACAAAACATCGTTTATTATTTTATACGAATTTAATTAACAAATACGATTAAATAATTTACACTCCCCTTCAAAAAACATGTGACCTCAGTCTGTGGTCTACCAATGGAGGTATCACTGTAGAAGACTTGAGTACTTTCATATATATACGCAAATATACGAATACGTATTAATGCATATGTATGTATGTATATGCTATCACACTTTTCGTGCTAAATTTCTAACTAAGGCCAGAAGTAATTAAAAACAATAGGTGGTTAGGTTGACGAATTCTAATATACTCGTATACTCGTACTGTACGAATAATTGGCAATGGTGCAATGCATACAAATATCTGTAATTAACACTATGGCTGTATTTTCGATGATGGAATGTTAAAAATACACTGAAAGCTGAGTTAAATAAGGAAGGCATATGTAAGGTTATGTAATCGAGTTTACTTATTTTTGTCCACATATTAGTAGATATCGATTAATTTACATTGAATAATACTTCGGTTTTGGGGTAGGACTAGAAGCAGCGGAGCAAAAAACACAAACTAGCTATGAACGTAAGCAATAGCGGCAATGGCCGTGTGGTTACCATTGCGTACTGCCATTCTGCCTTCGAGGGTTCGAGTCCTGGTTCTGCCAATATCCAAATTAATTTTTCTAATTGCGGTCTCCTCTCAACAAGGAATGTCAAACCCTCCGCAATAAAATGGTCCTCATTTTTTTCTACTCATCAAAGATGTTTATTTATTAAATCTGCTTAATTTAAGCCTTTTTGGTGTTTCTTACGTCTGCGTCTACCATTGGTCTCTATGTATGCTTTCGTTGCGCATTTGATTGGAATCGCTGAATGGATACTACTCGTAGTTGCACAGGTAGACCCTTATAATTGTATTCGGTACATCCATATTGGCTTTATGACAGAACCATTTAGAAGGATTTTATGATGCAAACATAATCCTGAATTCTTACACAGTAACCAATTTAGGCTGGCGGTTTTAAGTCTGAGGTGCTGTATTTTAGCAGAAATATGACTCTTCTCGTCTTCCCCCGAATCTAGGTTGATTCTGAGGTATTTAACTTCGCTTCGTAATGGTCTTTATGTGGTTTACTTTCAGTATTGGGCGTGTTTCTGTCTTCAGAGTGAATGTGATATGCTTACACTTTTGCTCATTCACTTTTATGCGCCAGTTTGAGTTTCAAATAATTTTCTAGTATGTTTGAGGCTTTTATTGGCCACTTGTTCCGACATCAAATGGCTGTATAGTCTGCGAATGTGGAAGTTAGTATTTTTGCGGACATCGGAATGTCTGCAGTAAATAAGATATATAGTATTGTTCCCAAAACGCCGCTGGTGATACGATGGACTTGTTCTATAGTACCGTGTTTTCGAGAAAACCTAATTGATGGTTTGGTATAAGTTCGTATTCGTGGAGAAAAGGAGATATCTTGGAAACCAGCACTTTTTCAAAAAGTTTGGAAAGAACAGGCAACAAGCTATTATTCTATATGTGTATACCTATTATCATTTGTGGGGTTATGTAATCGTAACCAGGCGACTTTTTGATATATAATTTTTTTGCTATGACTTTTATCTCGGCTGAGGTCATTTTCACGCCGGAAATAGTCCTAGTAGACAAAAATATAATCGTAAAATTATTCATTGTTACATTAGGTTGGAATACTTCGTTAAGATGATTTGCAAAGCATTTTACCCTTTCTTCTTCAGAACGGGCCCAAGTACCGGTTCTCTATCTGAGCGATCTCTCCGCTTCTACTGGTGGCTTAAAGTTCTTTTCCGCCATCCATAGTGAGTTCCTTTGTGAAGAATTCGGCGACAAAGTAGAGATAAATCTCTTCAGATGCGTCTCTTCTTCTTATTTTAAAGCTCCCTTCAGGTTTTTCCCAGCAGCTTTTAGTTTTATTTAGATGCTGTTGGTGGTTCGTTTTGTACTTCGCAAACTTTCTGTGGATGGAAATGGATTCTGAACTATAGTTGGTTGTTCGAATAATTGAATTGATCATAACTGGCGATTGATCTGAAAAAAAGTTGGAAAAGGCTTCTGCATATATAAGGTTTCTATCAATGTTTTTTTTAATTGCAAAATCTCTAAGATCAGGTATTTTATTTGGATCAGTAACCCAATATGTAGGTTACCTCGGAGAGGCAATATCAAGATGATTTATGTTACAGGTAACTGTGTTATATAACCTACGATCTTTTAGGTTAACAAGACGGTAAGCCCAGTAAGGATGTTTGCCATTGTAATAAATCTATTACCTAGAGTACTGAAAAAATCAGAGATCACTAGTTTATTTGATCGATTTTTGAGGCAAACTGAAGTTGCTTGCCTATAAAGTCTCTCATAAGAATCTTAGAAGCGAAGTTTTGGTCTATTTCGAATGAGAATAGGTGTACCGCCATATGCCTTACCATCCGGATGGTTTGTGCTGTAGAACTGATTGCCAGCTATGTATATGAAAATTATACTTGTTCGTTAAGTGCGTCTAAGCCAGTAGCATAACGTCCACCTCCTGTTCTTGTAAAAACTTGCCTTGTGTTGGCTAATGCCATTTGCATTCCAAGTACAGAGTTTTAGTTCAATCATTTTTTATTTACAATAGCAAGCAATATTTGATTTTGGGCTTCGATTAGATCCTCATAAAAATCCATTGGCAGTTCCGAACCGGCTGACAAAAATTTTTAGGTTTGTTGAACAATTATCATGATAATACCACAAATTGGAGGAGGAGCTTGGCCGAAAATCCCTCCAGTGGTTACCAATATAACCGTCGAAATATGCGAATAAGTTGTAATGAATTTCCATTTTCAAAACTACGCTTCATGACTCTTCGCACCCTAGATAAGCTCCAAATAAAAGGAACGTAACGCGCTCTTGGGTACTTAGCATTTACAACCAACATCTTGAGTTAAGGATCAAATACATATCTATATACATATATACAAATATAACGAACTATGCTACGGCAATAACATTTGAAAAAAAAATTTACTTTCACTATTTGCACATTGATGGAATGCACAGCATCGAATGCAGAGGGTTTCGGGGGTTCAAACCTCTCCCGAAATTATTACAAAGCATTTTTGAAATTCTCTTTATTTAAAAGCCAAACTGCAACTAAACTTAAAAATATAAGTCCTGCTTGCTATTCGCTACTCTTTGCACAATTTTGCCGCCACTTATCCAGTTTTATTTTTAATATGCTTTGAATTTACCCTTTTTTTCATAATTAAGACATTTTATTGGATAATAAATAACTCTTGAAATAATTCAGCGACTTCTTTTGATTCTCATTTCCAACTAGGATAAAAAGGAATTATCTGAGTCCAATGAATTTTATCCATTTTATATTTTGCAAAAATTGTATACAGTGATGAACTAAAGTATTGGCACAGCAAGATAGTTCAACTTTAACATCTTTTTTTTTTTTTGACCACTTATGAAAATATTCTAAATTTCGAAAAAAAAAAAAAATTATACATATGTATGTATATTTATAAATGTACATATCAAGCACATTTGACATTTATCAAAGTGAAAATTCAAGCATTCAACTGTTTTGACATTTTCTACCTAGAAAGTATTTTAAGAAACTTCTGCTCTTGTAAAGTGTGTATTGTCATTTCATGTAGCATATCGGCGTAGATGAACGTGGATTAACGATAATAAAAATATATACATATACATATATATACATATACACATATATATATATATATACATATACACTTACTTGAAATTCTACACTGTTATAATACTGGCTCCTGCTATCCTTCCTTGATTACCTGGTCCAATGTTGGTCATCCGTTTGTGGTTTGAACACTTTACAGTATGCATTGGTTCAACCTCCACACTTTGTCCTCAAATTAAAGAGCTTAATAGAAAAAAACTCACTTAAATTATTAAAATATATGTTTGCGCAAATGCGAACAAGAGGAAATGCAAGTACGAACTACTATGTGGAGGGTAACAATTTTTAAAAATTCAGTTAATTTAAAGCTAAATAAATTATTATCAGGCATGTCCTTCATTTCACTTTCGAGTAGAGCTGAAGTTTTTGTTCGAACATTTGAGTAACGAGCACTGGTACACTTCCGCTTGAGCACGAGCAATTCGAGCTTTTCCGAGTATTTTGAATAAAAAATTTAATTTTTTCCCAGATTTTTCTTCTATAATTTTATTTTTATTTATTTATGCAAAGTGTAAAACCAAGGCAAATTTACACACGATAGTAGCAAGAATACAAAAACAAGAAGCCTATGTATTTTGTTTGTTTAATCGTAGTTTCAAAAATTTAAAACCGAAATTCGTTCAATGTACTTTGTTGGTATAATAAAAAAATTCAAAAATTTAAACAATTATTTGAGCAGTTGAGCAACAAACGAGCATCGAGCTACTCACAGTGCTCGATACCCTAGTATCTAGAGCTCTATTTTCGAGTAAAATTATAGTTAAAATTGATTATATTCTTAAAATTTTGTCTAATGCACCAGTTTTTAAGATTTTATATTTACATATTGTTAAGCTCTATTACGCCTTTCTTGATAATTAAAGTGATGAAATAACATTCATTTAACATGCATCTTTAAGATGTTTGCATTTGGTTTAAGCGAGTAGTCCTGAATTTATTTGAGCACTTGGCACTTCTGGGCGTAGCGCACAAGTATTTTTTTTACATAATATCGGGCTACCAATCCATTTGATTTGTAGTTTTGCTTTATCCTCATTCATAAAATTTAATTGTAAGTCCTTTGCATAAATTTGGAATTTAAATCTACCCTTTTAAATCAGGTGGAAAACCTCTCTTGACTTTTTCATTGGGATTGAAGAATGGAAGAAACTTAAATGTATTAAAATCCTTATGCATATGTATGTATGTGCGGATGTTAACATTATCATGGCGAGAGATACCAAACAGTACATTTAAACAATATTGCTAAAAATCATATTCCACATTTGTCCCCTCAAGTAAACTCATTCCTAATTGAATTTGCACTTTGCATGTTAAGCATTTCACATTATTTGAAATTTCATATACAGGGTCCGCCATCTAACTTCTTTTTTTTTTTTGAACTAGTTTTGAACGAAAATGGTTGTGTATACGATTGAGGAACTCGTTAAAATAGTGCAGTTTTACTTTGAGAATGTGTGCGAAAATTACGCACGGAAATGAGCCGTAACCAACGCGTGAGAAACCAAAAAAAGTGCGTACTGCCGGTAATATCCCTGCTGTGGCCGAGAGTGTGCGTGAGGCGCCCGGAACATCAGTGAAGCGTCGCTCTCAACAATTGAACATTTCCGAGACGTCCCTTAGGCGAATTTTGAAAAAAGACCTTGGTATGACACCGTACAAAGTTCAATTGGTTCAAGAATTGAATCCACGAGACCATCCGATACGGTTTGCCTTTGCCGAATGGGCATTTGTTTTATTGCATTTAAAAGAAAAAAAGTTACGTGGCGGACCCTGTATTGTACATATGTACTTTAATTAAATACCTATTATTGTTTTACATTAGATTTTAATTAAAGAATAGTGCGGTATGACATACACGTACTAATCAAACCATTTTTACGATAAATAACTGTAATACTATAAATATCCATTTAACTTTAAAGAAAGAGCTTTTGTCTGTGCCAAGCTGGCTGCTGAAAACATTTTTGCTTGCTTTACTTTCCGTGGTTATTTGATGAAAACATGTATTTATGTACATATTTTACCTTATGCGATATTCTGAGCTTTCCATCTTTTCTACATAATGCTTTAATGATAATAAATTGTCGTAAATTTTATTTTTTTGTGGCATTGGCGAAATATTTACATACATACAATTCACAATGAGTAAGATGCAATAAAGTCAAATATTTGCGCTTAATTCTTAAACGTAGCCGCCCGAAATATATGTACATATATATTTACGCCTTAGGAAAATAAAAAATGAATGTATACTTTCAGGCGTTATTTTTATATTTTCAAAATGGTGTCTGCTGTTGTAAATATAAATGAATATTAAAAATAGCTTGTTGTCATTAACAATTCGCCTGAGCAAAATTATCTTAACAAAATATGAATATTGGAGCTTAACCCACGATGCTAACAATATTTTTGTACATATTTCTCTGGCTTAGTTTTAGTATAAAATGTACGAAATTTTTTCACTTATTAATTTTATTAACTTTAACTTTCCTCACAGAGCTTGTAACAGCATAAACTATGCGGTTTGGGACTATACATATGTACATAAATACATAAATACATATGTATGTAAGTGCATAGATCGTAATTGTTTCACCTTAACGTGCTGCATTACTATTGAATGTCTAATCAAAACTTTGTAACTTCTCTTTTTCGCAGGCGCAACCCTTTTTCTTCTTCATTGTTTCTCGAAGACACCCAAGTTGTCGATAGAGACCACGCTTCTTTCCCATATATCAGGACGGGAACTATGAGGCGCTTGTAGAATTTGATTTCGGTTCGTTGAGAGAGGAATTTACTTTTCAATCGCAAACTCAGTCCAAAGAAGCACCTGTTGGCAAGAGATATTCTGCGTTGGATTTCAAGGCTGGCATTAATTTTTTTGTTAATGCTGGTGACTTGGGAGCCCAGCCGTTTGAGATTCGCTTCGCCTCTTTATCAAGCCTAGATCAAATAAATACAACAAAAGCGGACAAACACCAGACAAATAATGGAGAAAAGCTGTCAACATTAAAAAAATATATATTCCAGAATGGCGGCTTTATTATAGTAATATTATCATCAAAAATAACTAAGTATTTTTACGTGTATATATGTACCGTTTTGGCAGAGGTGGATGAGACAGAGATAGCGTTTGTTTAAGAGAAAGGTGTACAATATTATTATTCAAAGTATTGCTCCGCTGAAGATACATCCCCACAACTTTAAAGAAATTTGTGGATTCTATCCCAAAACAGCACCGGTTTGACAGTCAAAATCAAGTTAAGCCAATTTTCTGATATGAACTCTATTGCAGTGAGGGCGTTCGAAATTGACCGCTGTTTTCCAAATAGTTTTTTTTTTTGGTGTTACAGCAAAATCGCTCGTTTTAATTTAATTAGTTGTTATCGGCAGCGTCTCAGATTAATGATTTCGCCCGCTTTTAGAACCTTAGAAGATAACACGCTTTTATGATCCCACAAAAGGCAGGGCATTATCTTAGCGCTCATGTTCAAGCAGCATTCTTCTCTTTTTTCTCCTCTCTTGACACGTTCGCTCAGACAAAGCGAATTCGCTTTAATTTTCTCCCAAATACGATGACTTTCGACAGTGATTTTCTTCATATTAAGGTAATCAAGAAGACCTTCCCGCAAAAACACTTTTTATGACACAAAGCTCGACTTAATTGAGTGTTGATTATGCTTCAAATAAACAACTTTGCTTTCAAATAGGGTGAGTTTCAAAACGTCAGTTGCAAAGCAACCATACGTTACGTATACCTTAATGCAACTCTGCAAACTTTGACGATATATCATGTTCCAAGATCCGATAAGGTTAACGATGAGCGAACAAAAGCAAACTGCGCATCGCTAAACTTAGGGATACTGTGATGGCATTTTATATATATAGCATACACAATGGCTGAAGTGGAAGGTTACTATTAAATTCTTCATGTTTCAAACATTTATATATTCTGCCCTATTCTGCGTTTCGATTACGCTCCCGGTCTCTGTCCCCCTGCAGTCGTAGTTGGATATTCTGAGTTTCACACGGTTTATAGAATGGGAGGTTATGACAAGATGGCAATCATATGGTTAATAACGAAGTTGGTTCAATTTGTGGGTTGCCGAAAATTAAAAAAAAAAATTCATAATTTTCTCCTTGCAACAGCGTGACATCTCGGCTTTAAACCCCTTAAACCTTACCTGGCATTTTTCTTTTAAATTAATAACAATTACAACTAAAAAGTTCTGAATAGTTTAATGCCGAACAAATGTCCTGGAATTTTCAAAAAAAAAAAATTTTAAATTAATCAAAATATGTAAATTAATATCATTTTTTAACAAAAATTTCTATAGCTGGCAACTCTTACTTTGGGTGTCATGTAATACGAGTGGCAATGTTAAAAACGTTTAAAATTTTCAAACTTCTCAGGGTAAAGGCAATATTTTTCAAAAATTTACAAAAAACGATTTTCATATATTTTCTTTGTTTGCTAAAGAGCTTTTGGTAAATGGATAATACTTATTTTGTGAATAAATCGTGTTTAAAAATTCGAAGCGTTGAAAAAGTGTGCAGTGGGTTATTGTGGACAAAAGTTAAAAAAAAATTGTGTGATTTATATTAAACTGATCTGAAAAATTGAAACATACATGCGGTATTGTACATATAAATTTAATGACAAAGTTTTTTGAGCAGAAAACTTGAATTCATCCGATAGTTAGCA